ATCCGCCGAATAAATCGTTTAACTGCGACTTATCTCGCCGTTTGCGTCTCGCGGGCGCCGCGACGGCCTTAGAAAAGCGCTCCCGACAATATTCCGTATCCGCTCGCTCGACGCCGCGCGGCCAAGAACGAGGCGCCATCGCAAGGCAAACACTTCGATCTCGTGCGCACGTTTTAAATCGGTTTACTTAGCTGCTAATTAAGACATCGCGGTGCTGGCGCGCGGCTCACCGGTTCTTGTTGCGCGACGCAAATTTAAGGGAGAGAGAAAGAAAGAGAAGAAAAGAGAGACGGGCAGATTAAGGATAAGCACACTTGTGTGCTTTTCGGCGTACGCGGACCAAATTGAGATGTTTCAACAATCCGTCGAATTAATTAATCGCCTCATTCGCGCGAAATCGATCGGCTATCAGCGGCGGCGTGTCCTCAGCCTCGTGAGCGTGCGTCGCGAGCGTGCGATTCGCGGTGAATCCGTCGTTGAAATTAAGGTCGGAACAGTTCTTGCACATCCGGTATGCGAGTGCGAGTTGGAACGATCAATGTTGCACGTTTCGAAACTGTGACGTTAGTCACGGTTGCATATAAGACTGCTCTCTAAATACCTTGGAGTGAAATTTTACTCGAAAAGTAGAATGACAGCCGAGCCACTCGAGAATTTAACTTATTTTTCACTCCTACACGGAAAAAACAATTCTGTTGGTGTAACCGAATTTTCGTTTGCTCAGAGATCAGATGAGAACTCAGCTGTAGGAACGGAAAAATTCTTTTATGAGGCTTCTTCAATAGTCAATTTATAGTCAATTGTTCCCAGTTGCCTCAACCGAGTTCTAATATCGTTAAATCTTCAGACGAATATTTACGGTTGCGACAACAGAAATATTACTTTTCATAACAGAGATATCGTTTCTGATCACCTAATTTTCAGTTGGTTTCTATTTGATTGCATCAACTGAAATTTTTTTATGTATATACGGTGAATTCTCCACTCTGAATCTTCTCACTCGAAATTAAAGAGTGAATTTAATGTGTTCTATGCATATTCACTTCAATCAATTGAAACATTCGCTCGTGTCGAATCACGATTTCTAATCTTAAGTGAAACATTCACTTTTCCGAGTGGTAGCAGGTTCACTATCGTCTTGAGTGAAAATACTGCCGCTTTTCATTCCAAGGAATTTAGAGAGTACATGCAAGAAATACGAAAAGCATGATTTTAGTGACGTTCTCGTCTCTACGTTATCGACATTTTTCATCATCGACTTCAGTATCCTGTTAATAGCGGATTATAATTACCAACGGTGGGGGCAGATCATTGTACGTGATATGTGATAATTGGTTTAAAGGTAGAGAGATAACTGTCCGGCACAAACGCCGTCTCATCGAGAGAAATTAGGTTTTGTTAATTTACATTGAATCGCGCAGATTTGATCATAGTTTCGTGAGGATTTTGCAGTATCTGAAGTCACACGGGAAAAAATATGAGTTCGTGTGAACTGAATGCGGATCAGACGAAAAATCGGTTGTAAAGACGAAAAGACTGCCGTAAGAGATGTTTCTGCTCAGCCAAATGGCTTGTTATCTCAACTTTGTTTTTCTTGTTTGTACACTGAGAAAATAATGTTTGATACTTATGACTATAATCACACAGAGAAGTCAATACCAGAAATTCAAGAAATCTAGAAAACTATTTTTTTATTAAATTCTGCTATAATATCGCTGATAACAGCCTTATATGCATATTATTACTACTATTTTCGTTAGAACAACCAACAAATATGATTGGGACCGAAAACAACTAAAATTTTAGTTGGATCAACCATTTTTTTCTCTCAGTGTAATTGACTATTAGTACAGTAATTGTTTGTACACTAAGAAAATAATATTTGGTATTTGTGACTATAATCATGCAGAGAAATCATTACTAGAAATTCTAGAAGTCAAGGAAATCATTTTTTAATTAAATTCTGCTATAACATAAGTGATAATAGCTTAGCCTATGTATATTATTACTACCATATTTTCGTATTAGAATAACTAAAAAATATGATTGGGGCCGAAAACAACAAGTACAATTTTATTTGGATCAATCACTTTTTTCTCTCAGTATGATTAACTATCAGTACAGTAATTTACTATGTTCCTCAGATAGATAAGACCTTGTTTTATTCCTGTATTATTAGAAACATAATAAAATTGAAAAAAATTTAATGAAATAAAAAACTACACTGTAAAAACTGATGTGTTAAATTTACACATAAATGAGAATGAATGATTTGGAACACATAAAATGTTAAATTTAACACATCAGATTTTACAGTGTATAATATTCATTCCGTATATAATATTTGGTGAAATTAATCACTTTTTTCTCAGCGTAGAGAAGAATATTCATCGTGCTCCTTGCGCGCTCAAAATAACTTCCACCGTCCAAGACTCGGGCGGACATTCACGGAGAGCGCATCGGGAGTGCACGTACCGTAGATCCTTTTACCGCAATTAAGGACGAATCGCTCGGTAATCGCGCCATGGCGACAATGATTCGATAAAAGCTCGTCCACCGGCGCTGGAAAGCGCTGTCATACGCGTGCTCCCACGTGTATCCACATGTATCCGCTCGGACGTGTCCCGGACGTATCACGGATGCGGAAGACGATGCCCCGAAGGCGCAGTTTGTTCGATAATAATAAGATAACTCACCGGCACTAACCCACCGGCGAATGATAATCGTGTGCACACTATCCGCGGGGCAAGGGTAATTTCATAATTGGCGCACCCACGCGACGCTCATTACTTAATTGCCGCGAAGCCTGCAAGGCCGTGAAGCGGTCGCCACCTCGTGACTTTTCACCTTGAACCCCCTGATTCTTTCTGGTCTCAAGCCTCCCACGAGTTTCTCGGAAAAAGAACAATACGGAGGATAAGCTGCCGATTAGAAAGTCGTATGCTCATTGGATGAATATTGGATATCATTTTACGTTAGTGATAAGTTTCTTTTTATCGACCCTTTAAAATCCAGGCATTGATCTCGTTTGAGTAAACATTTTTTTCTTCATAAAATAGTCTCGAAAGATGCTCCTGATGAGAAGTTGTGTGATCCGAATAAAATTAACTATCGAGAAGTGCGATTTTCTGAACATATATACATACTTATGCATTCATATATATTCATATATATATACATTCATGTTAGCACGGTGTCGCTGGATGACTCTGACAATACTACAGCTCATGTAATAATCTGAATCAAGTGAGACTAGAAAATTTAAAAGCTGTATTAAATTTGCTCAAGGATTAACTTAAATCCTTTGGAAAATTTCTAATATTAGTATTTTTTTCGGCATAAATTAAAAAAGAAGAGAAAAATTACTTGTAATTTCGAAGTGTTGTTATTTTATTAAATTTCGATCTTTTGCATATAATAAAATTTCATTCTTCAGTAAATTTAATGCAGTTTTTAAATTTTTTTGCACATTTGTTTCAGATTATTGCATGAGTAATATTGTCCAACTGTTAGAGTTCGGCAACACTGCGCTCAGCACAACACAAACTTGTACAACAGAATTTTAATTTTTCTTAATAAGAAAATTGGCTTATACATGAAACAATGATGAGTAGTATGGCCAAAACTCTATAGTTTTATTTATTTCTTTTAAAAAAATTCGAGAACATTTCCTACTTTTCGGAATCTAAAAGCCAGAACCTAATAACACGTACACGCACACACACGCAGTCACGTTGCTGATGATACAAAACTTAATTGACTCTTGCGATACGTTCATGCGTGCAAATTGCTGCGAGTGATTTTTTCCTAAAATGGATTTCGCGTCGCAGTTGAGGGAATATTGATATCGTAATCAAAATCGGCAATTTAACGTCCTGTAAGAAGAAACATGTCGATTGCCCGTTATCACGCCATCGAAATCTTCGCACTTTATTGTTTCCCACACACGTCGAGATATTTCGGTAGATTCCCAAATATGTACATAGCTGTTCCACAAGACCTGAGCATATTTGATCAAGCTTAATTAAGCATTATGTCAGGTCGACTGAGTTGCACAATTCAACTTCTAACAGGTGTGGCGTAGTTCTATTTGTGCTTTACATTTTGCAATCATATGAAATGAAGTCAACATATCAATTATTATAATGCAACATTTGTCGCATCGCATTACAAACGCCGTCCACTTGGAAACGCGCGTTCTTGGAACTGCGTTGTTTTATACACAGCAACCTCACATTACACTAAATTGCAATTAAATTGTAATTACATTGCTAATACCACCGCTCGTGATGATCCTGTACGGAAAAAATATTGCGGTAGAAATTACAACACAATTATTGTAATTGCTTGGACTATGCAGAATTATGATCAAAATTACTATATATTTAAAAATATTATACACATTTGATATTTTACATTGAGAGAAATTATTCGATAAAAAATTAACAAATGAGCATTTCTGATTAAAATACCGGTGAATTTTTGTATCCGATCAGGAAATATCGGTTAATAACTTTTTGATCGGTTTATCTGATGAAATGCCATTATGATCGGAAGTATTCGATTTAATCGGATATCCTGGTCGGATATAAAAATTTATCGGTATTTTAATCGGAAAAATCCGTTTGTTAATTTTTTGTCGCATAATTTCTCTTAGTGTAGTAAAACTTCTGTAGGTTACTTTACAATGAGGGAAATTATTCGATAAAAAATTAACAAACGGATATTTCCGATCAAAATCAGCGTACTACAAAATTAATAATAACTTGAATGCTTTTTGTATCGTATATCACTCACACATCGTTACATTTTTACTACTTAATACTACAATTTCAGCACCGTTCAGCTTTGCAAAACACATTGTAAAAAAGAAATATAATTTTAACGAAAGTTTTACTACAATATGCTCTCCGTGTACAACACGAAGCGTGAACAGTCGATATTTAATTTTATTTCCGCCGTCTCCTCTATGTACGTTAACATTTAACGATTGTCGACAGGTAACCGTGACTGTTAGCCGCCTTGACGAATCGATAAATTCCCGAGGAAACCGGAGAGAAGAGATTGCCGTTTGATCGGCCATTGTACGCCCGGCCGCTCGATTCTTCGAGCTGTCGCGCTAACTGGAAGAAGAAGAAGAAGCGGTATTAGTAGCAGAAGAAGGAACGAACAGACGGCGAAGACATGGCGCACGAGAACGGGATAAATGGCGGGGACACCGACTCGGAGACGGTGGAGTTGAATCCTTTGAGGAGAACCAGATTCCACGTGAACCGGGTCGACAGTCTCGAAGGTCGGGCGAGCCTTTTGGGCGAGCAGGAGACGAAGAAGTCCCTCAGGCACATGACCAGGGAGGCCCTGCCCAGACTAGACAACTACAGAAACATCATGAGCATTCAGGCGGCCCACAGACCCTCCTTGGACGAGCTGCACAATCCCACTCTTCTCAACAAGGTGAGGCCTTAATGACTTCTTCGAAGGTGCGTCTCTCTCGCGCGCGCAAAGCATGCAAATAAGACAATTTGTCCGCCAGTTAGATACGTGTTTGGGACTTACCTTACTTGTTCGGGAAGCATTACTCGATTTGTTCGCGACGTTACTCAAAATTTGCTCCAATTTGTTCTAAAAGAAATATATAGGAATGGGGTCGATGTCAGCTTCATAGTATCGTGTCGTGCGACACGAACGATTGCGAATGATATCACGATAGAGCGAGCTTATCTATGGGGAAGTGCATCCGCGAGCGCAAGTTACACAATACGACAGAGCGTGTGGTAATTGCGATAGCGGCTTTCAACTTTTCATCAAATACATCTCGTAATACCGCGATAACGCGTTCCATATGGGATGATCCGACGATGACGTCGGTGCGAAGCTCGAGCACGAAAACTACGATGTGTTTTACGCGCTCACGGCTAGATAATGAAGCGCGACGTGCCGATAAGTTCGAAGTTATACATTGCGATAGGCGAAGAGCACGTTGCGTGCAAAACAAGAAAAAAAAAAAGGAGAAAAGCGTGGCCCGCTCGTCGCGCCTGCGAACGTCCCGTTTTCTCGCGTGAGTGAAAATTTCGCGATAAAAATTCGCCATGCGAACGGAAACGCGACGTGTCGAATTGCGTAATGGGCTTCTCGGAAGGACGCGTCGTCCCGTGTGTGAGACAAGGAGCGCAAAAAGTCGTACGTGGAAAACTGGCGCCGTAAGAATAAAAGGCAGATGCGCACGCGAGACAGGCAGACAGAAAAGATACACGCACGCACGCACGCACTATGCACGCATACATACACATACACACACACACACACACACACATGCATACGAACACACACGTCCGTCAGATAAACGTGAATCTATCGATATGCCGGCGAATCCTTCGTGATAATAATATGCACGACGCGTGTGTGTACCCGGCATCGCTTGCGACAGAGGCGCGGTGCGTCGTAACGCTGACATTCACCCGTTTCGCGATTTTTCAGCCGCCTTATCGGCGCGGCCCCGTTCTCGTAGAATTAATATCTAAAATTATAAACGAGCCCCGCAATAAATGCGGGCCCGCTGTGCTAATCGCCGCCCGTATTTTTTCAGCAAGTTGCATGCTCCGCAGAATCTCGCGAAAGAAGGGCGAACTCCAAGAGTGTATGAAGTTGGCACCCCACTTTTTGAAATTTATAATTTTGAAAGTTGTTCCAGATTGTTCTGACTTTGTACCACATTGTTCCAAAGTGATTGCTTCATTCGAAACGGTTTTCGAATAAAACAAAAAAAAATGATTTTTTGAGCTGGCACTCCACTTTTCGAAAATCGAACATTCTGATACCGCAATAGATTGTTCTAGTTGTTCCAAACATTGTTCCAAAAGGACAAATCCGTAAGTTGAATTATAAGTCCAAAAAATGAAAAAAATGTTTTTGACCTGGCACCCCATTTTTTGAAAATAAAGCATTCCGATACCGATATAGATTGTTCTAGTTGTTCCAAACATTGTTCCAAAAGCACAAATCAATAAGTTTAATTATAAGCCCGAAAAATTAAAAAAAAGTTTTTTGACAAACAGTCTATCGGACCAAGAGTAAACTTATACTATCTTTCTTGTTCCAACCGAGATCTTTTTGTTCTGAGTTGTGCTAGGCTTAAGAATTATAGTTTTAGTGTATGAGACTCGTAGCGTCATCCATTCTCCGAAAATTCGAAAAAAAAATCGATTTGACAGCACCCGACGTCAAGAGAAAACACATGCTTCCTTTCTTGTTCTAACTGAGATCTTTTTGTTCTGAGTTATACTAGGCTTAAACGACGAAGCAATTTCACTTTATTTTGTCATGACATTTTGTAATTATTTCTGCCAATTTTCCTATAATAAAGATTAATTTTTGTAAAAAATCATCTTTTTCTTGAATTTTTGTCACCTCAGAAATATATTTCAATCATCCTTATTTTCAATCATCCAAATAATTATACTTTTTTAAATCAGTATATAGAACTTTTTTTTTTAAGAAAATAGTTTCATCTAAAAAAACCTGAAAATATTTTTGTTAATTTTAACATGTTGTTAAGTTATGAATTTTTTTTTACGAAATTACATTTTTTGTCCATTTCGGCAAATTTAAATTGTTATTGCAAAAAATTGTTAATAAATGACTAAAGTAACTATTGGAACATAAAATATAATCTCTCTAGTGTATCCCAGAATTTTTTCAGATTTTTCAGATGATCGATTTTTTTCAAATTTTCGGAGAACGGATGACGCTACGAGTCTCATATTCTAAAACTATAATTCTTAAGCCTAGCACAACTCAAAACAAAAAGATCTCGGTTGGAACAAGAAAGGAAGCATGTGTTTACTCTTGACGTCGAGTACTGTCAAATCGATTTTTTAACGAATTTTCGAAGAACGAATGATCTTATGAGTCTCATACTCTAGAACTATAATTCTTAAGCCTAGAACATCTCAGAACAAAAAGATCTCGGTTGGAACAAGAAAGATAGTATAAGTTTACTCTTGGTCCGATAGATTGTCAAAAAACTTTTTTTTAATTTTTCGGGCTTATAATTAAACTTATTGATTTGTACTTTTGGAACAATGTTTGGAACAACTAGAACAATCTATATCAGTATCGGAATGCTTTATTTTCAAAAAATGGGGTGCCAGGTCAAAAACATTTTTTTCATTTTTTGGATTTATAGTTCAACTTACGGATTTGTCCTTTTGGAACAATGTTTGGAACAATCTATTGCGGTATCAGAATGTTCGATTTTCGAAAAGTGGGGTGCCAGCTCAAAAAATCATTTTTTTTTGTTTTATTCGAAAACCGTTTCGAATGAAGCAATATCACTTTGGAACAATGTGGTACAAAGTCGGAACAATCTGGAACAACTTTCAAAATTATAAATTTCAAAAAGTGGGGTGCCAACTTCATACACTCGAACTCCAAGGCGAAGGATCTCTCCGCCATGTCATGCTGATCCGATTAAAATTTCGATTTTCTCCTCCGTTAATGGATCGTTCAAGAATATTTCGTCGTAAGAAATTATCCGTGGTAGAAATGTACGCAGTTTGCGTAGATACCCGCTCAATTTTTGCATGGTATTAAGGTTCTTGATAAGTCTGCCGAGAACTCCACACTCCACAGAGAGATTACCCGATAAAAAATTAACAAACTGATATTTCCGATCAAAATACCAATGAATTCCGATCAGGAAACGTCTGATGGGAGATATCAGTTCTTAATTTTTTGACCGGTTTATCTGATGAAATGCCATTATGATCGGAAGTATCTAATTAAATTTAATCGGATATCCTAATTGGATGTAAAAATTGGTCGGAAAAATTTTCATTAAAATTGCCGGATTTCTCGCTCGGTTTGGGCGAGATTTGAACCATTTTTTACTAATTTAGTACGGATTTGAAATATTTCGGTTAGAATCTCGGCTAAAGAAATTTAGAATGGTTCGCGTCTCAGCTATACCGATTTTGTTAAAATTATTAACTATATTTTATATTAAATTTGATTTTTTATGAATTTTTTGTGCTTGTTGATGATAGGAGTGAGATCATTAAAAATCTATAAACTGCCTGTGAAACTCAAAGTAGGCCAAAATAAAAAAATATGACCTAAATATTTTTTGTACTTCTACGTTTGTGCCAAATTAGAAAGAAATTGGAGTATACCTTTTGGGTAAGTTTACTTGTGAGTCACTGATGTTTTGTTAAGACGATTTGTCATATTTATTTTGCGATTATGTAATAATTATTTCGGCAAGAGAGAAGCATCCGGAGCATTTCACAAGTCTGTAAAACAGATTGCGAGTGTCATAATAATAATATATCCTTTTATTTAGCTGCGGTTTGCAGGAATTTTGAGCAGGTTTCCCTCGTTTTTGACATCATCAATCCAATGTGACCGCGGTGACTGTTCAGGAGCCTTAATGCTCTTTCTTGTTTTTTTCCACGAACAATTTGCCGCTATTGTTTCACGCTATTTTGAGGACATCACGTGTAGCGATGAATGCGCGCGTAGCGCGCAAACAGAATGCGCCTCTCTGTTCTTGCGATATCAATTACGCGCTCGTCCGCTCGTAAATCATCGCGCGACAAACGCTTGCACAGATTGTTAATTGTGCAATTAACCCGCGAACACAGGCGACGGTGGAGTCGCCGACGTTTCGCCTCGTTTCGTCCTCGGGAAACCGCTGGAAAACTCTCCTGCGGTTAATCTCGCTGCAATTATTCCGTGTGTATCGTCGCGGAGCCAGCCGAAAGCGATAAAGTCGTGTGAATAAGAAGGACGTTACCGTTCGGATTTTTATTGGCGTGCGTTACGTGACGACGCGTCGTCGACGTGACTACGCAAGACCGTTATCGAAAACATATACGTGCGACGTAACGTCAAATATTAACAATGACTAATGCGAGGCGAGTAACGTTTTAAGAGGATACCTTGAAATATGTCACGCTGATGATGCATTAATTACGATTGCCGAGAATATTGCCGAGCTTAATGAACTTTCCTACGCACGCATTACTCATTTATTCATTCACAAAATAGCACCGAAATAAAGGTTTCAGTTCATGCAATTGAATCGGGGACTGAGTGAAAATTCGGCGACGAGAAATGATATTTCCGTTACCGGAAACATTAGCCTGAACATTTAATTGTATTAAAGCTTGAATGCAGTAACTGAGATTATCTGACTGAGCAAGCTAAGAGAAAAAATATCTAAATATTGATGAATATTTATCTGGTGAGAGTACTAACAGCATGTTTACTTAAATCCTTTTATTTAAATAGAATAAATAATTGCTTTCATGAAAAAATAAGGGGTTTTCTTAAGATTTTAAAAATAATTTTTTATTTAAAAAGTATTTTGTATTAGTATGTATTAGTAATGAAAAAAATAATACACTGAGAGAAATTACCTGATGAAAAATTAAAAAAATGGATTTCCCGTTAAG